AATCAACAATCCCTCCTCCTCCAACTCCTTTAGTGGCATAATTTATTTTTTAATCAAAATTTATATTAAATTAAAAATTAGACTTAGAAATATAGATTTTTCTCATCTTCCTGTAGTTCTTTATCTCATATGAATATTTTTGCATGTCAATGAATCTATTTCAAATTTTCTTAATCAAGTTGTTTGTGTCTGTTATATGGATATGGTTTTGCTTTATGGCTTACTATTCCTTATATAAGAGAGTTAATTTTTCTTCTGTTATATTTGGAATATAATCTCATAATTGAGAGAACTCTTTCTTTAAAACTTTAGAAAGGAAACAAGTTTATAAAAATTAAAAGAGGCACAAAATGAGTCCAAAACAAAAAAGATGCACATAGTTCGTTAAATAATTAAAAGATGCACAAAGTGAATCAAAAATCAAAAGATGTATAAGTTGCATAAAAATTTGATGAAGAGGCACAAAATAAATTCACAATTAGTTAGCTTTTCTTTCTTTCAAATCTTTAAATCTTAGAAAAATCTATGTGCCAATTGATATCTTCTATATATGAATTTGAAAGTCATGATTCTTAATTCACCACTTTGTAATTCTATTATCTTAGATATAATTTAGAAAAGACTTTTGAAAAGAACTTATTTCCTCTCTATTTTTTCTAATTAGATTTAAAAAAAATACTTTAACCTATAAGGAAATTGAGCTAGGGTTAACAAAATATGAATATCTAACCACTTTTGGGTTTAAGCATTGTCAATGCATTTTTAATCTAATCATGAGGTAAAATTATCATTTGTTGAAATTGATCAATTTTAAAAAAAATGAATTTGCCTTACTCTACTAGTACTTCCATCCACCACCTCTCCCACCTTTGCCTGATCAGGAACTGTCATTATTTTAGTTTGTTCTATTTTGTGATTGTTTTTTTACTCCTATACATTTTGTTATTTATAGTTTCCTATTTTTGTTGTTGTTTCCTCCTTGGTTGAGATGTAAAAAGGGGGAGTAGCATGTTGTTGGTTGATTGTATTTTATTCTCAAATGTTTAATTCCATGTTTGTCTCTGAATATTTTGTGCTCTATTATCATGTGTTGTTTTGTTTATTTAAAAAAAAAAAAACCAATACCTCCCCTATTTTTGAAAGAATTTACTTAGTGATGGGGAGCTTTGAAAAGATCAAAACACTATTGAAACATAAACCAATAATGTTTTCCATCATAAAAAAAGGGATAGATTGTTGCAAATCAAAAACAAAGTCTTAAGATTTTGATTATAACAAATATTGTTGAATTTCTTACTATGCTATTTCCTGATAATTTAGTTTATTACACATTTATTTTGCACTGCTCATTAACATTTTAGGTTAACTATTCACTTAAAAATTTGATCAGCTCAAGATTCGGTAGACTAGAATTAAATTTGATATTTTCAAAATTAATTAATTTTATCATTCTCTAGTTAATCATGTATTTTGGTTGATCATAAAGCTGAGTAACATTGCACAAACACACACTCAAGGGGGTGAGTTAGGAAGAAGATGAGTTTTCTAAATTAAGCATTCTGTATGATTTACATCATACTAGATGATCAGTTAAACAGAGAAATCATTATTTAGGGAACTTTTATCAATTGAGATTGATTAAATTAATCATAATGGATTATTATTATTGTACATGATGATAAGTTATAATTATGAAAATAGTAAGCAATTATAATTTAGGAAATATATTAAAATTCAAATTTTATTTTAATTGTCTCGTATAATATGTATTGTACTATATGATATATAATAATCATGCTTAAATTGATCGTGTGATTAGGGAAACTACTATGGTTAATGTACTCAACAAAATTTTATAGGATGATTGGTGATGATCATACTGTATGACCCGAGCGAGGCATGGGATGATAATTTATTATCACCTATCATACAAGATGAAATAAATTAGTTTATTAACTAATTATACAGGATGTATACCCAATTTCATACTAAATAAACTGAGTGCTATGTGGGATGATTATTTATCATTGCCTATCATACTAGATGATCAGTATAAATCTTAAATTAATTGTATAGGACAATATAATTTGTATCAACTAAAAGGACTATATTATACTATTCATACAGGATGATCGTAGGATTGTACTTGACAACCTTAAATGATAGATTGAAACATAAGGTTTTTTAGAGACTCTCTATTTAAACTCTCACTTAAACTTGCTCAACAACTTTTTGCTTCTAAGTTTCTTGAGATGGAGCAAAGATAAGGAGTTTATGAGATCTTTGGGAGAGAAGAGATAGAAATATTTTTTGAGGGAGAGCTGTGAGGGATTTACAAGATTACTCAAAGCATGGTTCATTCATGTTTTCTTAAGTCTCTACCTTGATTCGTTGGTGGCTCTGGAGAGATGTTTGATAATAGTAGGCTGTGGTGCTCTGCCTTCACTTAGAGGATGAAAAAGGATTTATAGTACGCTACCTTCTCTTAGAAGGAGAAAAAGCTTTGACGAACACTACCATCACTTGGATGGTGTGAAAAGCTTCCAGTTCTCCTTTGAACTGAGTTGGTGAAAGTGATTTTATAATAGCTTCTCGTCCTTACTGCAGAGGGAAAAGAACAAACACTTATTTTAGTGTAATACCTAAAACAGGGTTTTTTGGGGAGTGCACATAGGTTATGTTGGATCGAAGTATTATAAATTCTAGAGTGTTCGCTCTTATTCTTAATGCACTTTATTTTTCAGTGATTAATTATGTGGTTGAAAACTCTATTTTTTTATATTTTTAAATTAATTCAGTTCCGTATTGAGTGATAATATTTTATATTTTTAGATATAGAAATAGTTGTAAAAGAATTTTTTTTATTAAATAAAATTTAAAATTACCAATTAACCACCCCTTTTTGCTAGCCTCAGAATAGTTCTTTGAGGTTTAAGAACCTTCACAAACTTTCATTGAAGGAATATTTTTCTTAGAGTAGGGTTTATTATTTATTTTATCCAAACTATTTTTATCTTCACCGCACTTCAATTGATTTATGTATAGGCAGTGCATAGATTCAAAATATAGTATACCATAGAGCATTGACAAAGGATATATTAATAATAAGGGAATTTAAAACACAGTCCAACCATAATATTGACATATAATGTTTTGAATTATGAGTTCTTGAAGAGATAGTTTAACCATGGTTAGTAAGGATCCTAGCTTATGCTTTGATGAACTCGACAAAGATGGGAGTATAATTACTCTAATCCACAGTAACTATTGGAAAAATTGTATTTAACGCAATCATGTTCTTTTAAGGATTCATAGGTTAAAATTTTATAAACCTTAGAAAACCTTTATTTTTGCATTTTGAACATTTTACTTCTAAATTTCCAAACCTAATTTTGTTATATGATTAAATTAAAAAAAATCACTAAGTAGTAGTAAAGTTAACTTAGGTTACTAGGGATGCTTTGTTGTAGAATCTACACTTTACAACAACAAGAAACCTTTGTCCCACTAAGTGGGGTCGACTATATTAATCCTTTTTCTCCATTATGTCATGTTAAAAGTTAAATTCTCATTTAAATCAAATTAAGAATGATTATTTCTAACATTTTCTTACCAAGTCTTTTAGGTTTACCTCTACCTTTCTTAACATAAGTTAAATCTAATACTTATACTACTTAATCGGGTCATCAGAAGGCCACCATTTTATGTGAACAAACCATCTAAAGAGTCGATCTCTAATATTATCTTCCACTGGCACAAAAAACATCATAAAGCATTGTTGGTCACCACCATATTATAAAAAATTCCCTTGCATTTGAGGGGGACTTTTCTATCACACAATAAGCCCAATGCATTCCTCCACTTCAACCATCCAACTTGTATTATGCTGATAATATCTTTATCTACTTAACCATCAATCTAGAAAATATATCCAAGATATAACATGAACTCTTATTAATGACTTGATGGCTTAAAGTGACAATCCCTTCACTATCTCAACCATCCAACATATACTCTTATTATGCTGGCTGTCGACTACCTAACACGACCCTCTAGTTTTCTCTACTAGGACTTGGGACGTGATAATGATAGTATTAAATAATACTACATGGAATCGACAGTCTATTCTTCAAGTTTTTGCTAGAGACGATAATGCATACTTAAGATCTAACTGGGATTTACTACTTCAAAAAATTGAACTTCCTTTTGAAATCTAATTAGTGATTATAATAATTAATAAATCCTTATGTTTTTCTATAGAGATTAAATAACATGCACAACCCATCATCATCAAGTTTTTGGAGTAGTTATTGGTGAATATAAACTAGTGAAATTATTATCCTACTTTACATTTTATAATGCTAAATAAATATTTGTTTAATCTAATTTTCTTTTATCTACTTAAATTTTCATCTTCTTAATATTACTTTGATATTTTATCATCTATCACCACTTAGTGCTTTATAGATTCTTTTTATTATTTAGTGTTGTATACATATTATTAGATAATCGGTAGAATTATTATTTGACACTAACATTGAGAAAAGATTAAAAGGAATTAGAAAAATTAGAAAATTTATAAAATAATTCATAAACTTTAAACAAATACTTGATAAATGAGCAACCTATATCGCTTAGGGAATATGCCTACCTTGTTATTGAGGGTATTCATCAAAGTATAAAAAGACCAAACATTAAAAAAAATTAAACTAAAACCTAGTATTATCTTATATGTGTAAAACACTCAGTTTGGGGGAACACCTTTAGAAGACCCTAATTTACACATATCTTGTTTTATAAAAATATGTGCAACCTTTAAATTTAATGGCGTTAGTGAGAATCTTGATAAAAATAGGTTGTTCTGTTTCCATGATGGATAATGCTAAAATATTGCTAAATTCATTTCCCCTAAGTTAGCTCAATAGCAGTTTTGAATGAGTTAGCACATAAATAATTAATATTCCTCTAAGCTAAATATTTTCCATAACAAAAAAACTTTCAAACTTAGAAATAACATCACTTCTCTTACTCAGTTGGATGGTGATTCTATTTTGAATTATGTGAATGATTTAAAAAACATCTTTGGAATGTCTTCATCATGCCCTTCTAAACTATTTATAAATCTAAACTTTTTATAATGGTATGATATGTTATTTGAGATAAATAATTAATATTGCTGCTGTCTCGCTATTATTAAAGCCATTTGATGAGGGTTATTCCTCGATTAAAGAGATGAATACAACAATTTCCATTAGCCCTCTAAAAGATTATATCATAGAAAAGTGTGAAAGTTCGTTAGGGATGTTAAGCCCTTATGAACTTAGTCCCAAGCTAACCAAGAGGTGGGGGGGGGGGTGAATTGGTATTTTAAAATTTCTTTTCACAAAGAATAAAAATTCCATAAACCAAAATCACACCACAAAAATAAATGCGGAATTAAAAGTGCGGAAGCAAAACTAAGAACACAGAAATTTATAGTGGTTCGGTCAACTCGACCTACGTCCACTCCTTGGAGGCACCCTCCAAGTATTGCACTACAAAAAGTGACTCTCCTTTAGCCCCCACGACTAGGCGGAGAAGCCTCACAAGAACCTCTTTTTTGCCACCCCGGCAAGGCAGAGAACCTACCTCCTTTTGCTTCCTCCTGAAGCTGGCAGAGAACCACAACCAAAAGCTAACTCCTTACCTCTACCGACCCTTCCACGGACGAGAAACTCCAGACAAAAGACAAGCAGAACGATCCTTGAGCAACCCTTGTGAATCCCCTCACAAGCTCCCCCTCACAAGATCCTCTCTCTCTCCCACTCTCTCTTTCTCTCCTCAAGGCCTTCTCAGGTCAAGGCAGCAGCCAAAGGTCTCTTAAAAACGTTGAAGAAGAGCTCTTTAAATAGAAGAGCTGAGCATGCTCTCCTTACCAGGACGATCCAAGGGATCGGCCTAGCCGATGTGAGAAAAAATAGAGATTCTAAATCTCTCAAGTGTGTGTGTGTAGGGTTACTTAGCATTAGTCTCTTTGACCATTACAAGTAGACTCAAAAGTGAAAAGTAAAAGTACAGACTGACTCAACCCTAAACCTACGCAATCCTGAATTGGATTCATCTTGATTGTACGATCTTCGATTCTTGAAAAGTTAGAAGCAACAAGCAGTTCAAGAGAAATAGTGTTTGCCAATCATCAAAACATAAGCCATGAAAATAGATTTGCAACAAAGTGTATAACATTTATGAAGTTGATGCCTTATCAATATTAACTACCCAAGTAGCCACTATTTTTAGAAAATTAGATATCCTTTGGAGTAATTCATCTCAAAATTCACCTTTGATAATAAAAGAAAAAATTTGTGGAGTTCTAGTTATCCTAATACCTTAGTATTAGAATTAATAAATGTAACTAAAAACTTAATTAATAATCCTTACTCCAACACTTATAATCAAGGTTAGAGAAACGATGCAAATTTTAGTTGAAATAATAATCAAAATAATAACACTAATTAGAAATCTCTCTAGTCATATCATGTATGTAACTTGAGCCAACTACCTCAAAAATTTTCAAACCCTAGGCCTAATTATCATCCAAGATTTAATTTAAACATCAAAACTAAGGATAAGAAACCTTCTCTAACAGAATTGGTTTTATATATGGGTACTTAATTGAAAGCTAAGTTTATATATTTAGGAACAATAAAAACTAATTATGATAATTTGTTGGATCTTTAATCAATAAAGCTCAATGAAATTTATCTTGTAATACTAAAATAAATACTAAAGTAAAGGATAAAAAATAAATCAAAGCAATTCAATTGATAAGTTTAAAGGAGTTAAAAAATTTATTTTATAATAAAGATCTGTATGAGGTAGAATTAATAAAAGATGAACCTATAGAAGCTCCTTATCTTAAGGATACACCTCAACTTAATAGGAAAAAAAAAACCCCTTTCAGAGAAATGGTAGAAAAGTCACACCACCATTTCCTCAAAGTTTGTTAAAATAAAATTCAAACAATATGTTCTTAAGGATTTTGGAAATCTTTAAAAAGTTAGTTGTCAATATTCCATTTGACAAAGCCTTATAATAAATGACCACTTATTACATGTTCATGGAAGATATTATTAGTAAGAAAAGAAGAATAGGATATTTCAAGATAATAGTGTTTCAATAAAGGAGTTAATGCAACTTTTCATAAAAAATATCTTTAAAAGCGTAAGGGCCCTGGTAGCATTACTATTCCTATTGCTATAGAGAAAACAAATTAACCATATAGCACTATATGATTTAGAAACTAGCATCAATATAATGCCCTTATCCATTTTTAAAATATTTGATCTAGAAGAAGTTCAACCTACTAATATTACCCTTAAATTAACAGACATTTAATTTACTTATTTGAAGAGGACAATAGAGGATGTGCTTGTTAACATAGATAAGTTTATTTTCCCTATAGATTTTATTGTCCAAGGTAAGGAGGAAGACAAGGATATACTGATTATCATAGGTAGACCTCTCCTAGCTACTTATAGAGCCATGATTGATGTGCAAAAGGTGAGTTGACTATGAGATTGAAAGGTCAAATACTAGCCTTTAATATCTCAAAGTTAATGAAATATCCTAGTGACTAAAATAGGGGTTGTCATAGAGTAATCTTGAGTGATTATTATGTAAATGATTGTATGGAGGATTTATTGTTGGGTATTTCATTGGATAGTCCTTTTTGTGGGAACATATTGAAGTGGAATGTAAAAATAATGTTCAAATGATTTGTGAAGACCCTAGAATTTTTTTGACTAGGTTTTAAGTGCTTCATAATTCTTCCATAATAAAGCCTTTGAAACCTTCTACTAAACAAGAACCCATGTTAAAATTAAAAGTCTGGCATGCCCGTTCCAAGTATGTATTTTTTAGGAGAAGAGACAACCATACCCATTATCTTATATGGCTAGACTATAGATGAATTAGGAGAAGTCTAAAAGAGTAATTTGATTAGGGTTCTTAGTGAGTAGAAGAAAGCTTTTGGTTGGACTATAACTAATTTCAAGGGAAAAAATCCATCCTTATGTTAGCATAAGATTCCTAATAAAGGAGAATTCCTTTACAAAACATGATCCTCAAAGGAGGCTAAACCGTATATGAAAGAAGTAAATAAAATAATGATACTTAAGTGGTTAGAAAAAAGTTACTTAAGTGGTTAAATACTGGAATGATTTACCCCATTTTTTATAATGTTTGGGTGAGTCCTATTCATAATGTTCCTTATAAAAGCGGTCTATCAATTCAATCCAATGAAAAACATAAACTCATATCTATATGAAAAATTGCATGTTGGAGAATTTTTATAGATTATAGGAAGCTGAATAAAGTAACTAGAAAGTAGATATTATATGGTACAACAATAGGGGAGGGGGTGAATTGATATTTAATAATAATTTATTACTTGAAACAAACCAAAGAAATGTATGCAAGTCTTAAGAAAAATTTTCAAACAAAAAATAACAAACAAATTTCATTTTTATACTTTTAAAATATTAAAATGATTTGTTTTTATCTTTCAATAAACATTTAATACAAAAATTCTAAATCACAACTTTTCATAAGATCAACCAAAAAAATCAAAGTACATGAAAGGAGTTACCATCCCTTTATCTACCTCTAGATCTAGCAAAGATTTTATCCCACATTTAGGAACTTTTATTCGGTCCAGTGAACGTACGCTCCTCTACGTTCGGCCACCAAGGTTTTAGCGCCACATAGCATGAAGAAAAGTCTCCGACCCGACCCGTTGTTTTTTGGGTTCTCGCACATTATTTTTTTAAAATCCTTGACGAGCCGAACAACATCCCATCACCTTTTAGATATATTTCAAATACCTAGCAATACCGAGCAAATACTGAGTTGTACCTAGTTTTTTCTAGCAATACCGAGCAAATACCTAGCAATACCGAGTAAATCCCTAGCAATACCGAGCAAATCTTGAGCATATACTGAGTTGTACCAAGTTGTACCGAGTTTTTTCTAAGCAATACCGAGCAAATACCTAGCAATACCAAGCAAATCCCTAGCAATACCGAGCAAATCCTGAGCAAATACCAAGTTGTACCGAGTTGTAGAAAAACTCAGTACAACTCAGTATTTGCATGGTTTTGGTCTTCACAGAGCGGTATTTCTCATTTTTGCAAAGCAATACCTAGCAATACCGAGCAAATACTGATCAATACCGAGAAAATTGCGAACATAGCATTCCCGGGTTCCGCTACAGGTCAAGTCGTCGGGCTGCACGGTAAAGAGTAAGAGCACGTGGCGACATGTTATTGGCGGGCGAACGTAGCTCTACATCCGGTCAGAGGACGTAATAATTGTTCCTCATTTAGCCCCTCATCTAGTAATTCTTTCACCTAATGACTCTTCCAAAAGATTTTCTCCAAGAGCTCTTACACCAAAACAAAGAGAATCAAAGGTTCAAGCTAACTTAAATAACTATGTGAATCCCCTCACACACATTCACACCCTTAATGAAAAAATTCCTTTGCCTCACCTACTATCTCCCACCCATTGTATTGGAATCTCACACGAGAAAAGAGAATCCCCTCTCCTTCTCCCAAGTTCTCCCAATAAAAAAATATCTTCTATTACTCAACTTCTTAGAACTCAAGCTACTGATATCGTTTTTATAAAGTGATCTTTTCAAAACACTTATTTTTAAATTAAATACTTTGATTATATAGTACCATCCTTTGATCGTACTTTCAAGTTGATTTGAATATAGATTATAATCCTATTGTATGATGTATAATAACACAATATGATTTATTTAATAAATAAAAAATATTTAAGATGTACCAAGGTTTATCTAGTGATCTCTCTGTTTGATCATCTTGTATGGTTGTGATTATATAAAATAATCATGAATATACATATGATTATGATTTGATTCCTTAATTTTAAGTATTAAATTAAGAAATTTTAATTAATTTAAATAAAGTACAATGCACTTTGTATAATGCTATGAATTCAAATTTTAAATTTCAAAATTTCCTTAACAAAAAGGATTCAACGGTGGAGTTTTTCAAATGGAGGTCATATAATATGATTAGTTATAACCCAGCTTAAATAG